AATGGATACTGATTGAACAATTAAGAATCTTGCAATTATGCCTTCGGCTCAGGTCATGATCCCAGGGTCCTGGGATCGAGCCCCACATTGGGCTCCCGGCTCAGCGGGAAGCCTGCTTCTCCCTCTCCCACTCCCCTTGCTTGTGTTCCCTCTCTCACTGTGTCTCTCTCTGTCAAATAAATAAAATCTTTAAAAAAAAAAAAAAAAAGAATCTTGCAATTAAGTCAGTATGATACAATAGCGTGGTTTGTTTGCCAAAAAAAAAAAAAACATCTTGGGCAATATTACATTGTGTTGGTGAAAGTATAGTATCTTCTAGAACTGGGGTTAGCAAACTTTTCCTAAAAACAGCCAAATAGTAAATATTTTAGAACTTACAGGCCATGTATGGTTGCAAATAGTTTTCTGCCCTTTTTTTTTTTTTTAAGATTTGATTTATTTGAGAGAGAGAGAGAGCAATCATGAGCCAGGGGAGGGACAGAAGGAGAGGGAGAAGCAAGCTCCCCACTGAGCAGGGAGCCCATTGCCCGACGATCCCAGGACCCTGGGATCATGACCTGAGTTGAAGGCAGACGCTTAACCGACGGACCCACCCAGGTGCCCTGCTTTTGTTTTTTATAATCCATTAAATGTGTAAAAACCATTCTTAGCTCATGGATTATATATATATATATATATAAAATAGTCTGCACCAAAGGAGTTTGCCAACTCCTATTCCAGAACAATGATGGTGATGAGCCTGGGACCAAACCCTAAGATGTATAAGAAATGTGTTCAGGGTTGGTGATCATGATGGGAAAGGACTCTGGATGAATTTGCAAGAACAATTATTGAAGGCATTGGTTACTTTTAGTTTGGAGAACCTAAGATTCTTGATGAGCATTGTCTTCAGAGGTTTGAATGACAGTTAAGTAGTTAGTATGTATCCAAAGGGCAGAACTAGAATCAGTGAGAGGACGCACTAGAGACAGACTGACTGCAGCCCAGCATAAGGAAGGCTTTTTCATTTATGGAGCCCTTATAACCAGGCACTAAGCACTTTACATAGATGGTCTCACTTTGTTCTTAACAATCCCATCAGGTAGGTGCCATCCTTACCTCTACTTTCCAGGTGAGGTAAAGCAGCATTAGAAGGTTATATAACACGCTGGGGCATACATGCTGCTAGGTGCTAGAGTCATAGTAACCACAACTCTCTACTGCCTACTCCCATGCAAATTAAATGAAATTAGATATGTATATAGTTTAGCAGCACCAGGCACAGAGTAAGTGTTGTTGCACAATAATCATTATTATACCCCCTAGAAAGTACTCTGTCTCTCATCATGGTGCCTGTATTGGTTTCCTATGGCTACTGTAGCAGATGACCACAAACTTGGTGGCTTAAAACAAGGTATTTATTTGCTTAGAGTTCTGGAGGCCAGAAATCTGAAATCAGTTTCACTGGGCTGAAATCAAGGGGTCATCAGGGCTGTGCTCCTTCCAGAGCCTCTAGGGAACGACTCTGTTCTTTGCCTCTTCCAAGCTTATGGTGGCTTCCCAGTTTGTGGCCATATCACTCCAGTCTCAGCCTCTGTGGTCACATTGCCTCCTCTCTAACCTCCACCTCCCTCTTAAAAGGATACTTTGATTACATTTAGGGCCCTCCCAGATAATTCAGGATAATCTCCCCATCTCAAGATCCTTAAATTAATCACACTTTTTGCCATATAAGGTGATAGAGTTTCCAGAGATTTGGAAGTGGATATCTTTGGGAGCCTACCACAATGGTGGTTAAGCAGAGAGGGGATAACCACATTATCTTTTTAACAGTATTAGGAAAAAAAATGACAACTTTATAACATTCTATGATTTATAGATCAATCATAACATCTACTTTTTCTTGTTTTTTTTTTGTGAAGATAGAATATATTTTGTATAAGGTATGATTTAGAAGTAATATATATATATATTTTTAAAGATTTTATTTATTTATTCATTTGAGAGAGCGAGAAAGAGAGAGAGCACACATGAGAGGGGGGAGGGTCAGAGGGAGAAGCAGACTCCCCACCAAGCAGGGAGCCCAATGTGGGGCTCAATCCCAGGACTCCAGGATCATGACCTGAGCCGAAGGCAGTCGCTTAACCAACTGAGCCACCCAGGTGCCCCTAGAAGTAATATATTTTTTTTAAATAACCACAGTCTGACATTATTTATTGAACAATACATTCTTTGCCCTATTGATTTAAAATTCAGTTTTCAGCAAATGCTACACTTGAATCTGTTACTTGACTTTATTCATTTCCATTGATCCATTTTGTAGGTTTCTACATCTGTGCTATATACTGTTTTATTTACCATAGTATTGAAGTGTATATTTATAGTCGATAAATTCAGTCCCCTCCCCCAATCCTTCTTTTTCAATTTTCTTGGCTAATAGGTCTTCTACTGTTTTCTTTGTCATTCTGTATTTCAACTTAAAGAACTTCCTTATTATCATTTTAATGTGGTTGTGGGAAGAGAGGAGATAGATGGAATTCTAATTGTCTGCCTTCCATAATAATCCTCTCATCCTATTTTTTATTCAAATGATTTTACTTACTCATTCTATTGAGATTTTCATTTTTCTGTTGTTGAAATCATATGAAAGTTTAATTCCAGATGTCTCCGTCTAATATTTCAAAACTGTCTCACATTTAAACTTTACAACCACATGATCAATTATTTTTATACTTAACCACACCTTTTATTGGCTTTATTCCTCATTAGATTTTCTTATATAACATATCTTCTCCTTTCTTGAGTTCATTATTCTGTGGCTTTTTTTTTTCTTGGGCAGAATAGATCTTCAAATAATTTTTTAAAAATTTAATAAAGGTATTGGGGTGATATAATTTCTGTGTCTTTGAACATGCCTTTCTTTTGTCATCACATATGAGAGAAATTATAGTTTGGCAGCTGGTAGAATTCTTGAGTTACAGTAATATTCTCTTAGAATTCTGTAAAAATTGTGCCACTGTCTTTTCGCAGAGCATTGAAGATGAGAAGTATGATATCAGTCTGATTTTCTTTTCTTTTAAGCAGCCTGATTTTTCTCCCCTATCAGGAAGCTTGTAGTTGTTTCTCCTTGTTTTTTGAGTATCAACCTACATCTAGAATCGTGTATTCTTTCAGTTATACCGCAGCCTAGCACTTAGACTTACATGATCTAAGGCCTAAAGTCTTTCTTCAACTCAAGGAAATCTTTTTCTTCCATGATTATTGCATTCATAAACAATGTTGTCTCTTTCTGGAACTCCTGTCAGACTAATTTTGGATATTCTGGATCTCTCTGTTAAATCTTGTGTCTAATCTGATTACTTAAATAACCTTCTCCTCCTCCTCCTCCTTCTTCTCCTCATTCCCAAATGAGCTGGGTTCTTGCCCCAGTTCAGCCTCTGACTTCTACCCGTATTAGGGACAAATTTTCCACTTTCCAAAGACGCTGTGGGATGACTACAATTCCATGTGGAGAGAACCAGCTTAGTTCCTGATGCCCTTTAATTTGCTTCTGAACTGATGCCCATGACCTTTGTTTTAACTCTCTGATCCTCTGAGCTTGGGATTTTCCAGGACCCTTTTCTGGAAACCTGTGCACTTTCTTCTTGGGAGGTCTATGCAGAACCATGACTTTATCAGCACTGATCAGCTCTTCCTCACCCACATCCCATCTACTTTACGTCTTCCTCATATTTTCCAAAATGTCAGCTTTATTGATGGCATCTCTCTCTGGCTCCCAGCACTGCCAATTGTATTTTGGTTATATAAATTTTTATTTTTTTGGAGGAGTGGAGTAAATGTATGTGTCCAGTTTACCATCCCAGAGACCCAAAGTTCCAGAGTGGAAATAGAGGGGAATGAAGCATCATATGGATTCTGGACCAAATGACCTTTCAGTCTCATCTAGCTCTGGGAGGCTTTTCTCTAAAGTCTAGAGAATAAAGCAGCATAATTAAAAATTTGAGAATCAACTTTCACAAAAAAGTTCCCAGAGATAGGACTTAATTTGGTCAGGAGAATAGAATGAGGTGAGACAAATGGCAAGTCACATTAAACGTGCTGAAGATAGGGCAAGAGGGACCAACCTTAAATTACAGCCACAGTGACTCGGGTTGGTCACTGAGAAGACCATTTAACTCTTAAAAAGTTGTGTGATACCATGAGGCATTGCAAAGCCAAGTGAAGAAGCTTCCTTCCTTCTCTGGTAGTTTTCTGGAGGGTCAGGGCTGTTCTCTGTTAAGGGAAGAGGATGGACTGAGCCGCCTTCTGGGTTCCCTGACAGCCTTGGGATATTACAATGATGACACCTTGGTGCAGGAGATGTTGGCTGGGGAATAAAGAACAGCAGCAGATAAACTCCCAAGGGGGAAAAAAATCTTGTCTTCACCCAGCCTTACTGATAATTTTTTTTTTTTTTTGAATGTGAGAGACTGTTTTTGTCAGGAACACTTTCTCCAAATCTTTAAAACCGAATGGAGACATCTCTAGTTTCTTCCCCAACATGCTGGGAAGAGCAGGAATTTCAGCATCTCCCTCTCTCCCTGCAGCTGGAGACAGCTCTGGCTCCCAGCGTGGCTGGAGACTTGGTCCACATCCCCTGGCAGTCCCCTCCCCCAGGGCTGGGTACAGGGAGAAGCCGGGAGAGGGCAAGGGGCCAGACCAGGGAGAGGAGTGCCGGGCTCCCTGTGGTAGGTCTGAGCCTTGTCACATTGCCTCCTGGGCTCAGGTCGCTGGTGGCCGCGGGAGAGCTAGTTCCAACCTGTGTGGCTGGTGACATTTCCGGCTGCCAGCGCCCAGCCAATCAGGGATGGGCCCAGCTAGCTAGGGCGATGACACATGAAATATGATAATTTTCTGCTAAAGAGCCCTGGAAGAGAGGAGAGAAGAGAGAGTGTGTGTGTGTGGCTGGGAGGGCTCAGCAGAGGCAGTGCCTGCCACGATGTGGGAGGGGGACGGCGCATTGGTTTTAGTGGTTTGCCAAGGGAAGGAATGTGCTCTGATGCTATAGGGCTAGAGGGACGTGCCCCAGGGAGTGGCTGTAGGAACCCCAGGGTTGCTCTTCAGGTAAGCTGCTACTGCTGCTGGGTGGGAACCAGAGGAGAAGCAGCCAGTGTCATTCTGGAGCTTGGGGGCTCCTGGGGTGAAAAAGCAACTGTCAAGGGCATTTTCCTTCCTTTCAAACATAAGTGAGGTTAGGAGTTTTGGTTCCTTCTCGGTGCTACCTCTTTAAAAGCCAAAACAAAACTGGAACAAATACCATCCGGGTGGCTAAAATACTTAATGAATAATTAAAAAAAAAATTGGGGCTGGGGGTTACCTCCCCCTCCCCCACTGCATTTTTCTATCTCTGTGCTCAACCTAGCCCTGAAAAAAAAGTGTTGTTAACAAAATCTTGAAGAAGGGCCTAAGTCTGAATCTTAGAGACTCTAAAGGTTCAGGTGGTAGTTTTGATTCCAGATTCTGGTTGGAGAAAAAAAATGTCTTGGAATAAGATCTGGTCCTGGATTACATTATACTTTAGAAACAGTGCTGGAAGGATCCTTTAGTTTGAGGACAGGGCACCTGAAGCTGTAGGATAAGTTAACCCTGTGGTTAACTCTTGAGGTGGCACAAGTCCCCACTTCCTTCAGCCTCTTTGGCAGGCTTCCTGGTCCTCTGACAGCAGTTAGGTGCTTTTGAGGGGTGATAGGTGTCCCCTGCATTGTCTGACCCTGTGAATATGTGTGTTCAGAAGTGAAGGATCATAGTGTTTACATAAACATGCTTATTAGTCCCCGAGAAGCCCATCACTGCAATAAATGTCTCTAGGTTTATACCTTGCATTTGCATTCTCTCTCTCTTTTTCGCTGTATTTTGTTCAAAAGCCACAGATAAATGAAATCATTATCACTTTATGCAATCCTGCCCTGTGGCTGTAGGCATGGGACTAGCCTCCCTGCGCTTGGAGAAATAGCTATTCAAAAGTGGTAATTGGTGTACTGTATCTTTAAAAGGTTAAAACCCCTTTCAGAAAAAGGTCTGGACTCATAGTGGAAAAGACAGGCGAGGCATGGGTTGGCTCTGGATTCAGCAAACAGCTGCTGATTAGATTCTGTGTCTGCGGTCTGAATTTATTCCGTGTTTTTCAGCGGCAGGAATTCAAGAGGGATGCTACTGTTTGGGTTTCTGATCGTGATTTATATTTATTCAGAGGAATAACAGAGGGTGGATCTGTTCCCGGCGTGAGCATGCTCACAACCAGCCGACTCTCCCATTATCCAACTGCCTAGTTTGGTGCTTCAATGTACATGTACATTCTGTGTGCATATGTGTGTATACAAACACGCATGCATGCCTGGATGGACATATGTATGCACACGTTATTTTTTAAGGACAATTCTTTCAATAAGGTCTTTACCCCTTACTTGAAACAGGTGTTCATGAAAAAAACGCACAAATTCCCGACTGACCGGAATAATTCATGAAGAAGGGGCTGGATCCGTGGGTCAGAGAACACAGGACCAGTTTGCCATCCCAAGGCCGAAGGTAGGGGACTCTGGATTTTTATTCGGTGGATGGATTCCGTGCGCTTGATTTTATTTATTGTGTTTTTTGCCTGCGGCCGCCACCGGGAAGTGAAATAGCGGGCTGCGATTCCATCTTGTCGTTGCCTTTCTTGGGCAAGGTGTCCGGGTGGGCGGCCGCGCGGCGTGCGGTGCCCTCGGTGGGCAGAGCGGCTGCTCGGCCTGGTGCCGGGGGAGCGGTGCGAGCCTCAAGTGACCCCCGCGCGTCAATCCCGGCGGCCGCGGCTGTAACCCGGTGCGCGCCGCGCGCTCCCCGCTCACCCGCCGCCGCCCCGCACCCGTGCCCCGGCCCCCCCACCTCGCCCCCCAGCCCCAGGCTCGCTCGGGAGCCTCCGCGGCCCGGCGGTCACCTCGCCGCAGCGGCACCTGCGCTGCCTGCTGCTGCCCCGGGGTGGTTCAGGGCCACCTGAGCGGTCTCTGCTGCCGAAAAGGAGATTGAGTGCGGGGAGATGCTGTGTGCCAAAGCAGAGGGAGAGCTTTCCCTTCTCCCCTTAATCGCCACCCCCCTCCCCATGTTCCTAAAGCAGAATCACAAGCTGCCTCCCCTGCAAACAAAACCAAACAGAAACCAAACTCCTGCTCTGTTGGGGATTCTTGCCTTACCGCTAGCAAAGCGGGTGCCCCCCTCTCCAAGCTGTGCCCCACATTTTACCATCTTTTAAAATTAGAAACACTGGTGGCGCTGAATGGCCCCGGCTGAGACTGCACGGGCTGCCTGGGGACTGCTGAGCGTGGCGGACAGCCTGAACCCGCAGAGACTGGGACCCAAGTGGTGTCGAGGAGCTGGGAGGCCGCGCGTTGGTTTCGTTGAACGTGGCTGCCTCGGTTTACGTTGCAGGTCAGGACAACTTCTGTGGCTCGGCCGTCCCTGGAACTTTGGGGGCAGTGGTTGCAGGCAGGAGGGTCTGTTTCTGGCAGCCCTTGGCATTGCCACAGCAGCAGGGAAACGCACCCCCCCCCCGCCCCCACTCCAAGCCACATCTTGTGCTTCAGTTGTGTTAAAACTGGCTCGCTTTCTGGGCTTTGGGGGTGGGGGGTGGCGGAGAATGGGGTGTGTGCTTAACTGATCTCCAGGGAACCTTCTGCAGCCCTTGTCTGTGTGATTATGTAACTCCCAACTAATGATCAGACCGTGCGCCCCAGCAGCTCCCCATTGTTTCCCGGTCCTCCCCCGGACTGAAGGAGTTGGGTCCCACGTTTAAGATGTTTTTATGTAACTATGTGTATGCTGGGGGGCAGGGAGAGTGTGGGGAAAAGTGGAGCAATTTGAGCAACTTCTGTGACACACACAGGGGCAAAGACCACGTGTTTATTGGGGACAGGGTGGCATTGGCTTGGGGTTGGTGTTGATCTGAAGACCCTCCCACATCCCTTTCAGCTAGTCATTGCTTGTCTGAATTTTCCTTTGGTCATCCCACCCCTCTTTAGCCTGTAGAAGGTTGGAATCACCCATGCAGGGCCCCTTGGGTTCCTCACTGAAGGGAGAGCACCATCCTGAATCCAGGGTGACCGGCCCAGGCTCACTTGCTTTAGGTCCCAGCTGTTCTTCATGCCTACCGGAAGGGAAGAGTTTCTGCCCCGCTGGGGTTTCAGTTTTGCTCTGGGGTTGGGCCACCCTGTGGGGCTTGAGAAAACCTCAGAGGCAGCTGAGCTGCTTGGCCTTTGCTCTTTAAAACTGTGATGACTTTGGCAGAGGCCGGAGACCCTTTGCATTCTTGCATTAAAATGTTGTGGGGGTTTTTTGGGGGGCAGATAGGAGAACAGCTGTCCCACTGCCATATGGAGAGCTGCAGGCAGGAGGGGAAGATATGGATGACACTTTACTCTCTGTTCTTCCTCCCCATTCTGCTTAGTGAAGGCACCCAGAAGACACAGAATTGTCACATGGGGCTCCTTTATCACACCCCTTAGCACCTCAGCCTAGGTGGCTGCTGGGTAGACTTATTAATTTGATGGGAAAGTCTGGCCTCTTCAGGCTAAACTTGTTTTTTTCCCTCCAGCACCCTGGTGGGTCCGCTGTCAGAGCCAGCTACTAACGTGTACACACGGCGGCAGATCAGGCTGTGTTCAGCTGGCTCCGTGCTTGGCTTATCTCCGCCCCTTGTGCTGCAGAGGCAGCCACCCTCCTTGGAGTGGAGAAGGGTGTGCTGTGTTTGGGGTCCTGGCCAAGTGGGCTTTTGAGGCGTTGAGTGTGTAAAAGTTCCCCGCAAGAAGAAGATGCATTTAGTCTGAAGTCCTGGCAGATTCCAGGCCCCAACTTGATGGGAGATAACGGAGAGAAAGCCGTGTGACAGCTGGATAGCTTTGAACTTGTCTCCCACTTCCTGCTCTTTGAGTTCCTGATGTCTTTCAGGTTCTTTTCTGCCTCCACAATGTCCACCAGGGATGCTCTGACATGCTGTCCTTCTTTCCGTTTCTGGGGGGATCAGAGCATGTTTGCAAATCTGCAGAAGCCCAGGGAAAATAGGGCAGGGAACACTGGCTGCATGAGCAGGCAGCGCTGGTGTTTCAGGCCAGGCTTGGCCACATGTTGACCAATGTTGTGTTTTATCTGTAAAGTGGGTATCCTCATCATAGCCTTACCAAGCCCACCGAAATATCTTGAGCAGAAAATGCCAAGGGCTGAAAGGTAACATGTGCTCTGTAGCTAGCCAGGATCAGGATAACATCACAGCAATCTGAAACTCACATTTGCACAATTTCACTTAGCCAGGGGGGATGTCATAACGTCCATGAGCTACAACTCATAGATTTTGACCACTGCAGAACATTTCATACTTTCTTTCAGGAGTCTTCATTTATGTAAATTTCTAAGGGGCTTGGTTTTAATTTGCCAAGTACCCCTAACAAATTGGAAGAGATTGACACAGTATAGTATAGGGGTTATTAAAGTTCTTTCGGGTAAGTGCCAGTAAGAAGTACTAGTAACGTAAGAAACAGAAAAAATAAAAAAAAAATGAAATAAAATTTAAAAGGCACAGGAATTAAAAGCATAGAATTTTAGGGCTATCTAATATAAGTATTTAATATAAGCAATACAATGAAATTTTATGTATTTTGATAGGTCTTCCGAACTCTGTTTTGTAGCCTAGTAACTGATGCTCACAATGTCCTTTATGCATCAAGAACAGTTTGAATGACATTCTGTGTGTCCAATTTAAGAAGGCATGAGCTTTTGCAGTATACCCCAAATGCTTTTTTTTTTTTTTTTTAGCATGATTCTTAAAGGAAAAAATGCATTTATGAAGGATAACAGAACCCTTGAGGTTTCTGGACAACCAAGGGCTTTCTGATCAAAATCGTAACTATAAAGCACTCCTGTTGAAATTAATTGAGAACTTTATGACCTTTTGCTGAAATTTAGCAGGGAACCATTATGCTGGTATTAGCAGTGCTTATGTTTTAACATTTGATCTACAGAAAATACTGAGAGGGAAACATGGGAGCCCCAACCTGTCTTCTTGTGACCGGAGACACACTTAGAGCCTTCCCACTTGGTGACTTTAGTGCTGGAAATGATCAGAAGAGACCCAGTAGGAAAGGTCACCCCTAGTGGCATGGGTCTCTTACGTCAGGGTAGGCTCTGTGGCCTCCCTACTACCAGTGTGCTGTTTAAAAACTAGTCAGAAAAATGAGTTCAAGATGTCATGACAACACTCTCAGGCTACACTGTGGTGTTTATGCAATTCAGACACTGTGCTCAAAACTGGAAGGATATCTGAGTTACACCAGTAGAGCTCAGCTTTGCCTGACCCAATGCCGATTTCCCAAGTTAACAATTTACTCCAAAAACAAACGCAATAGGAAAAACAAAAGCAGAGGACAGTGAATTGAAGGCTGACACTTTTTAAAGAGTATTTTTGAATCTGATGCATATGTCAAAAATGTGAAGACACTAATTTAAAGTAGAACTGGGGGCACCTGGGTGGCTCAGTCATTAAGCGTCTGCCTTCGGCTCAGGTCATGATCCCAGAGTCCTGGGAATGAG